CGACCTGCCCTCTCTTCTGTAGACAGCAAATTTATAAGTGTGCTTTAAGAAACTTTTGGTATCCGAGGACCTTTTTATTTTGTGGTTTTAACAATTTTCATGTGTAAATAATTTAATTAAATCAACCTGTCCATAATATCCTATCCATTGTATTGGACGTTAAATCTTTAATAAACAACAACAACAACATCATAAATGAACGTTATTACAGTATAGATTACAGTCCTCGAAATGTTTTAAAAAAGCTACCTGTCGCTTTTCGACCCTGTTCAGCAATGTGTTTTTGTATAATTAGATATTTACCATTAAAAATTTTTATACGCCCACATTTTCATGTGGACGTATTATACCGTCGCCCCTGTCCGTCCGTCCGTCCGGATGTCCGTCTGTCCGTCCGTCCGTCCGTCCGTCCGTCCACAATTTGTTTGTGGACATTCTACAGGTCACAATTCTTATCCGATTTTAACGAAACTTGAAATATAGGTGTATCTCCAAAAGATCTCGGCTGCTTTCGATATTGGCATGTATCGGATCGAAACTTCATGGATTATGGCCCCTGTTTGTACGAAAAATCACGTTTTTGGCTTGTGGGCCCTATAGGGGTCACAATTTTTATCCGATTTTGTTGAATCTTGAAATGTAAGTTTATAACCCAAAGATCTCGGTTCCTTTCAATATTCGCGCATATCGGACCGTAACTTATTGAATTATGGCCCCTGATTGTACGAAAAATCACGTTTTTAGCTTTTGGACCCTATAGAGGTCATAATTTTTATCCGATTTAAAAAACTGTATTATTATATCACCGTTACACCCTAAATCAGCCCGAAGGATGACTGAGTTCGAATTTTGTGAAAATCTGCTGAAAATTGACAGACAAAATGGCCGCCGTTCGTTCTCAAATAGCGTAAAAATATGGTATATCAAGGTTGTGGACCCTATAGAGGTCACAATTTTTATCCGATTTTGTTGAAACTTGAAATGTAAGTTTATAACACAAAGATCTCAGTTCCTCTCGACATTCGTGCATATCGGACCATAATTTCCTGAATTATGCCCCCTGATTGTATGAAAAATCGCGTTTTTAGCTTGTGGACCCTATAGAGGTCATAATTTTTATCCGATTTAAAAAAACGTATAATTATATCACCGTTACACCCTAAGGACGGCTGAGTTCGAATTCCGTGAAATTCAGCCCAAAATTGCCAGACAAAATGGCCACCCTTCGTTCTCAGATAGCGTAAAAACATGGTATATCAAGGTTGTAGACCCTATAGAGGTCACAATTTTTATCCGATTTTGTTGAAACTTGAAATGTAAGTTTATAACCCAAAGATCTCAGTTCCTCTCGACATTCGTGCATATCGGACCATAACTTCCTGAATTATGCCCCCTGATTGTATGAAAAATCGCGTTTTTAGCTTGTCGACCCTATAGAGGTCATAATTTTTATCCGATTTAAAAAAACGTATTATTATATCACCGTTACACCCTAAGGATGGCTAAGTTCGAATTTCATGAAAATCGGCCCAAAACTAACAGACAAAATGGCCGCCCCTCGTTGTCAAATAGATTAAAAATATGGTATATCAAGGTTGTGGACCCTATAGAGGTCACAATTTTTATCCGATTTTGTTGAAACTTAAAATGTAAGTTTATAACCCAAAGATTTCGGTTCCTTTCAATATTTGCGCATATCGAATTGTAATTTCCTGAATTATGGCCCTTGATTGTAGGAAAAATCACTTTCTTTTTAGCTTGTTCTCTATCCATCTCTCGAAAATGTGGGCGTATTCTGCCTGGCAGCCGCTGATTTTATTGGGCTATTTCACCCCCCTTGTTATTATAATTAACTGAGTTTTACTTACCATTAAATAAACTGTTACATAAACAATAATGTATGGAATAAATATGTTTTACTTGTCGATTTTTGTTGATTACCGATCACGACCAGGATTAGTTCACCACTGTATGTTCGTATTGTTAATTGGCGTTATGATTTTAGATCTTAGGTCAGTTCACCGATGTTTTTGTAGTAAAGTATATTCGTATTGTTTTTATACGCCCACATTTTCATGTGGACGTATATTGTTGTCGCCCCCCGACGTCCGTCCGTCGGTCCACAATTGTTTGTGAACAGTCTACAGGTCACAATTTTTATCCGATTTCAATGAAACTTGAAATATAGGTTTATCACCCTAAGATCTCGGTTCCTTTCGATATTGGCATGTATCGGACTGTAACTTCATGGATTATGGCCCCTGACTGTATGAAAAATCACGTTTTTAGCTTGTGAACACTGTAGAGGCCACAATTTTTATCCGATTTGGTTCAAACTTGAAATGTATGCTTATAACCCAAAGATCTCGGTTCCTTTCGATATTCGCGCATATCAGAACTTAACTTCCTGAATTATGGCCCCTGATTGTACGAAAAGTCGCGTTTTTAGCTTGTGGACCCTATAGAGGTCATAATTTTTATCCCATTTAAAAAAACGTATTATTATATCAGCGATTTCCGATAATTACTGCCAGAGTTATGGCCCTTGATCACTTTGAAAAATCTTGTGGACGCTCTAGAGGCCAAAATTAATATCCAATTGACCTTAAATTTATACACAGTGTTTGAGGTCATGAGACGAAGAAGCCTATAGATTTTCAACGATTTCCGATAATTACTGCCAGAGTTATGACCCTTGATCACTTCAAAAAATCTTGTGGATGCTCTAGAGGCCAAAGTTAATATTCAATTGCCTTTAAATTTATACACAGTGTTTAAGGTCATGAGACGAAGAAGCCTATTGATTTTCAGCGATTTCCAATATTTGCTGCCAGAGTTATGGCCCTTGATCACTTTGAAAAATCTTGTGGCCGCTCTATAGGCCAAAGTTAATATCCGATTGACTTTCAATTTATACACAGTGTTTATTGTCATGAGACAAAGATTCCTATTGATTTTCAACAATTTCCAATAATTACTGCCAAAGTTATGGCCCTTGATCACTTTGCAAAATCTTGTGACGCTCTAAAGGATAAAGTTATCATCCGATTGACTTCAGATTGAACAAGTATATTGATTTTTAATGAATTTTTATGACTTGAACAGTTAAATCCATGATATTAAAAGCTTTGCATACAAAACGTTAGCATGGGGCAGAACTTTACAAAAACCAAACAAATTCTAATAGTTTTCTGATAATTACTTCGTGAGTTGTTGCTCTTAATCAGATTTTAGTGTATTATAAATGTTTCATTACCGAAAAAAGTAAAAATATGCGACAACCCTTGTTGACTGCCCGGACGATTTAGTTGCTGTGGGCGTATGTTTCGTTGCCTGGCAACCTATCTTTTACCTTGTGGTCGCTCTGGAGGTCACAATTATTATCCGATTTAAAAAAACGTTTGATTATATGATGAAACTTGAAATGCATATTTATAACCTAAAGATCTTGGTTCCTTTCGATTTTGTTGCATATCGGATCATAACTTCCTGAATTATGGACCCTGATAATACGAAAAATCGCCTTTTTATACACCCACATTTTTATGTGGACGTATATTGTCGTCGCCCCTGTCCGTCCGTCCACAATTTGTTTGTGGACACTCTACAGGTCACAATTCTTATCCGATTTTGAAGAAACTTGAAATATAGGTTTATCTCCAAAAGATCTCTCCTGCTTTCGATATTGGCATGTAATCGGATCGAAACTTATGGCCCCTGTTTTTAGCTTGTGGACACTATAGAGGTCACAATTTTTATAACCCAGTTGATAACCCAAAGATCTCGTTTCCTTTTGATATTTGCGCATATCAGACCGTAACTTCCTGAATTATGGCCCCTGATTGTACGAAAAATCGCATTTTTAGCTTGTGGACCCTATAGAGGTCATAATTTTTATCCGATTTAAAAAAACGTATTATTATATCACTGTTACACCCTAAATCGGCCCGAAATTGACAGACAAAATGGCCGCCGTTCGTTCTCAAATAGCGTAAAAATATGGTATATCAAGGTTGTGGACCCTATCTATAGAGGTCACAATTTTTATTCGATTTTGTTGAAACTTGAAATGTAAGTTTATGACCCAAAGATCTCGGTTCCTTTCGATATTTGCGCATATCGGACCATAACTTCCTGGCGTTTTTAGCTGATTTAAAAAAACGTTTTATTATATCACTGTTACACCCTGAGGATGGCTGAGTTCGAATTTCGTGAAAATCGGCCCAAATTGACAGACAAAATGGTCTTCGTTCGTTCTCAAATAGCGTAAAAATATGGTATATCAAGGTTGTGAACCCTGTGGGCGTATCCTGCCTGGCAGCCGCTGGTTTAGCTTGTGGTCCTTCTGAAGGCCACAGTTATTATCTGATTTTAAAAATCGTTTGAATATATCACCGTAACATCATAATAAAAGTTGAGTTCAAATTTCCTGAAAATCAAACCATAACTGCCGGACAAAATGGCTACCGCTTGTACGCGAAAGGTGTAAAAATATCGTATATCAAGGTTGTGGACCCTGTAGAGGTTACAATTTTAATCCGATTTTGATGAAACTTGAAATGCATGTTAATAACCCAAAGATCTTGGTTCCTTTCGATATTTGCGCATATCGAATTGTAACTTGATGAATTATGGCCCTTGATTGTAGGAAAAATCACTTTCTTTTTAGCTTGTTCTCTATCCATCTCTCAAAAATGTGAGCGTATCCTGCCTGGCAGCCGCTGGGTTTTTTTTAGCTTGTTCTCTATCCATCTCTTGCAAAATGTGGGCATATCTTGCCTGGCAACCGCTGGTTAATGTTATCACATGAATGTTTGTTCGAGTTTCTTTTGAAAACATTCAAATAGTGACAAGCTGGAGCTTCTTAGCTGATGTTGGTGGTATACGTTAAACCCCATTTCATTTCATTTCATGTCTACCTTGTATATTGAAGTGATAGACTATGAAATCATTGATATTTGTCATCACTTGATAAAAGTGTTATTTTTATTTTTTTGTAGGCTAAAGCTATTGTAAATGTTGTTGTATTAACTGGAATTAAGATATATTCTCCACTAACTAGAATACAGACAGGTACTAAGGTCAGTGTCTTAGATTCGAATCATGGTCTTTACCTGGCAACTTCATGCCACAAGAAGTCAATGGTGCCAGAGAAATCCAGGGCTAGAACGCGAGGAAACAGGGCAACAATGCAAGGATCTCGCCCAAGAACACAAGACTATTTTTACCTCAGCTTCTTGCTTTCTCGCCCTCGACTCCTCGCTTTCCCACCTAGGAAGTTCATTTTGTGGGCATGTTCACTGACTACCATCAACAGCATAGTGTACACAAACCCACACAAATCGACCAAAATCCACAATAATCTACTAATATTCCAACTCAAATCACATTAATTATCATCATATGTCGTTATTTGAATGTTCCTTGTGACAATATGTTATCTATTTTATTAGGAACTATAGTTTTTATACGGCCACATTTTCATGTGGACGTATATTGTCGTTGCCTCCGTCCTTCCGTTCGCATTTGTTTGTGGACACTCTACAGGTAACGAATCTTGAAATATAGGGTCTCAAAGATCTCGGTTCCTTACGATATTGGTATGCATTGCAACGCAACTTTTTGGATTATGACCCCTGATTATACGTTTTTAGCTTGTGGTCCCTCTAGAGATCACAATTTTTATACTCCCACATTTTCAAGTGGTTTTATATTGTTGTCGCCCCTGTCTGTCTGTCCGTTCGTCCATCCACAATTTGTTTGTGGACATTTTACAGGTCACAATTTTTATACGCCCACATTGATATGTGGTCGTATATTGTCGTCGCCCCCGTCCGTCCATCTGTTCGGCGGTCCGGCAATTGTGGACGCTCTACAGGTTAAAGTTAACATCCGATTGACTTTAAATTTATACATAGTGTTTAAGGTCATGAGACGAAGAAGCCTGTTGATTTTCAGCGATTTCCGATAATTACTGCTAGAGTTATGGCCCTTAATCACTTCAAAAAATCTTGTGGACGCTCTAGAGTTCAAAGTTAATATCCGATTGACTTTAATTTTATACACAGTGTTTAAGGTCATGAGACAAAGAAGCCTATTGATTTTCAGCGATTTCCGATAATTACTGCTAGAGTTATGACCCTTGATCACTTCAAAAAATCTTGTGGATGCTCTAGAGGTCAAAGTTAATATCCGATTGACTTTAAATTTATACATAGTGTTTAAGGTCATGAGACAAAAAAGCCTAGTGATTTTCAGCGATTTCCGATAATTACTGCCAGAGTTATGGCCCTTGATCACTTCAAAAAATCTTGTGGATGCTCTAGAGGCTAAATTTAATATAAAATTGACTTTAGTTTATACACAGTGTTTAAGGTCATGAGACGAAGAATCCTATTGATTTTCAGCGATTTCCGATAATTACTGCCAGAGTTATGGCCCTTGATCACTTCAAAAAATCTTGTGGATGCTCTAGATGCCAAAGTTAATATCTGATTGACTTTAAATTTATACACAGTAAAGGTCATGAGACGAAAAAGCCTATTGATTTTCAGCGATTTCCGATAATTACTGTCAGATTTTAGTGTATTATAAATATATTTCATTACCGAAAAAAGTAAACTCTTGTTGACTGCCCGGACGATTTAGCTGCTGTGGGCGTATGTTTTCGTTGCCTGGCAACCTATCTTTATTCAATTTTGACGAAACTTAAAATATAGGTCTCTCCCAACAATCTCGGATCCTTTTGATATTGGGATAAATCGGACCATAACTTCCTGAATTATGGCCCCTGATTGTATGAAAAATTCAGTTTTTAGCTTGTGGTCCCTCTAGAGGTCACAATTATTATCCAATTTAAAAACTGTTCAAATATATCACCGTTACACCGTAATGTTGGTTGAGTTCGAACTTTGTGAAAATCGAACGAAAACTGCCAGACAAATAGTGTAAATGTATAGAGGCCACATTTGTGATCCAATTTTGATGAAACTTGAGATACATGTTTATAACCCAAAGATCTTGGTTCCTTTTTAATATTCATGCGTATCGCATCATAACTTCCTGAATTATGGTCCTTGATTGTATGAAAAATCTCTTTTTATACGTCCGTCTGGCCTCAACAATTGCTTGTGGACGCTCTAGAGACTAAAGTTAATATTCGATTGACTTTAAATTTAAACACAGTGTTTAATAATAATAATAATAATAATTGTTTTATATAGCGCCAACAATTAAACTCGGCGAGCTGCTCTCGGGTGCTTTACATAAGTACAACTAATATAAAATTACAACAATCACAACACATTAATCCATAAAATAAAAGACATAAACAAAAAATGAAGAACATTATTTAGTACAAATGGTAAAAGTCTCAAACAAACACAGCTAGAACCATATTCACTCAGTTGTATATTTGATTAAAAAGTTCGGTTTTGAGATACTTTTTAAAACCTTTAATAGAATTTGCGCTTTGGTTTCGTTTGATGTTGAATTCCATGACTTCAAAGCACCTACGGCGAAAGAACAATCACCGGAGTTGGTTTTTGAAAAAGGCTTAATTAAGAGGTTGTCTGATTATGATCGAAGGGTTCTGCAAGGTTTATTGGCGTTAAGAAGGTCTCTAAGATATTGAGGTGAAGAATCATCATTTAGAGCAGAATACGTAATATATAGTATTTTAAAATTGATACCTTGACAGACTGGAAGCCAATGCACATCATTTAGAGCAGAGTACGTAATAGATAGTATTTTAAAATTGATACGTTGACAGACTGGAAGCCAATGGAGATCTTTCAAAATTGGTGTCATATGTTCATTTGGTTTTGTCTTGGTTATGATACGGGCTGATTTATTTTGAAGTTCTTGAAGTGGCTTGATTTTATTTTCAGGTAGATTGTACAAAAGTGAATTACAGTAGTCAAGTAGTGATGTAACCATAGTGTTTACCAGCATTTTAGTCGTGTCACTATCAACAAAAGATCTAATTTTTCCAATATTATAAATCTGAAAATTAATACTTTTACACATGGCCGAAATTGGTCTATTCATGTCCAGATGAGAGTCAAAATAAACACCAAGATTTTTTACAGAATCTGTTGGTGTAATAGAGATATTGCCAATTTGATAGTTTTCTGTTTTAGATTTTAGTAGTTGCTGCCTGCTGCGGACTTTCATTATTTCTGTTTTGTCATCGTTGAGTTTTAATAAATTTGAGTCCATCCATTTACGAATATCTGATAAACAGGCCTCAAGTTTGCATATCTCAGATGGTTCAGAAGAAGGCTCAAAAGCTATATAAATTAGAGTGTCGTCGGCGTACAGATGGTAGTTAAGACCGTGTTTACGAATGACATTTCCTAAAGATGTTGTATATGTGGTAAGCAATAAAGGACCGAGAACGGAACCCTGTGGCATGCCATACTTTAAAACCGTTGATTTGGATGTGGAACCTTTGATAACAACTGTCCGTGTACAGTTTTCAAGGTATGACTGGATCAATGTAAGGGCTAGTCCACTAACACCAAAGTTGTTCAGCAATCTTTTAAAATGAATTTGGTGGTCTATCGGGTCAAATGCAGCATTTGGATCAAGCAGGACTAGAACTGATGTTTGTTTCTTATCCATTTCGTTTAGTAAGTCATTTTGAACACGTAATAAGGCGGTTTTATTATTATGCAAATGTCTTTTAAATTCGAATGCAACAGCTTTCTCAATAATTTTTGAAAGAAATGAAAGATTAGAAACCGGTCTGTAATTCTTTATCAAGTTTGGGCTTTTTTTAGTAGCGGAAACACTAACACCTCTTTCAGAACCTCCGACATACAGCCAGAGGCCAAAGAGGAATTTACAATATCCATGATATCACTTCAAGACACTGTTTTAGTAGCCAAGTGGGAATGGAATCTACAGTGCATGATGCCGATGACGATGCTTTGATGATCTTATTTATATCCAGATTAGATACAGATCTAAATGTTGAAAGTTGCACGCCAGAGTAAGTATTACTATCCTGAGAGTCAGCAAGTGGAATTGTTCCAAGACCTGATCGTATAGTATCGACTTTGGTTGTGAAAAAATTAACAAAATCATGTGCCAAAACTTCAGAGTCACGATTTACTGGGAGAGTCTGTTCTGGCCCGTCTTTATTTAGAATTCTATTGATAATCTTGTGAATTTCACGGGTATTACCACGATTCTCAAGAATACTGTTCATAACATGGCGACGTTTTGCATTTCTTGTTGTAGTGTTAGTCTCATATTTACCTTTTATATATATTTGCCTGTGTATTTCTAGATTTGATTCTTGCCACTGTTTTTCCGCTTTCCTTTTCTTCTGTTTACATTTTTGAATTTCATCATTAAACCAATTTCTATTTGATCTGATACTTATACTTTTAGTTTGAACCAGTGATGGGATTTTGCCCGTATATTCCGGACTTGTCCGAATCTTTTTTCCAAACGCCCAAAATTGTCCGACCGGGAATATGCCCAATCGGACATCAAGACATGGTGAATAATATTCAAAATTCTGAAATTACTGAGTGTATAACTACCCCTCAACCCGATTATCGTCGATAATACGCTGGATTTATTAGGTAATTAAGTGATCAACGTATTTATCGTGTTATACTGTCTGTCTATAAACCTACCTTGATTAACTACTTAATCTGCCTTGATTGACTGACTTAATCCTTTGTCGGACAATTCATCAATCTAATCTTAAACAGAAGTCATTGCTTTCCCTTTGTCGGACTATTCATCAATCCAATAAGAGTGATTATAATTTAATCCACCTGTTTACCTCGTGGTTTCTCAATTGTCGAGCATTTTAATCATATTGATGTGAGCCGACAGCATCTATAAACTAATCATAGATGTCACATATCCTAAGAGTATATAACACCCTAAATCAATGGACAGTCATTTTGTCTACGATATCTTTTACGTCTTTTAAGACTCCATATAGAAATTCTCATCCACGGTGGCACTTTCCCGTGATCTTGAGCGCCGCACGAAAATCGCTTATGATGAAGCTATGTGCCGTGAGTCACGTACGCCAAACGCTCCAGGAAGTTACGTC